AAAAAAAAAAAAACGAACCTGCATGTTTCCATGTCTAAACATTATAAGGGTTCAACAAACTTCCTTTCTGTCAAATTCAGAAGACATGAAACGAGAATGTGGCATTTTGCATATGTTCCACTTTCACTTCAGTTCCTCTTCCATTATCTACCAATCAAAGGAAATACTTACCTCCCAGCAACCCTCCTCTTTCACCCCAACTTTAAATAGATGCCAGTATTTAGGTGAGAGCAACTATTATCTTTTTCTACACTAGTTATTGTTCGTCTGCTCTTCCCTTCTTACGCTACAATTTAATGCTTTGATTCTGTTTTCTTCCCTTCCCTTTTGTAGTCCCAACTCAAGGAGTTTAACTCAGACTTTCAGCACCACCAAATAGAAAATATTCTCTGATGGGACACTAGATGAGGCAAAATGCAGTTAAGATCCAGGTCAAATTGAGTGCCCAAATTTCACAGCAGAAAAGAGAAATACCTAAGATATAAGCTTAGTTTGCATGCTACAACCAAACTAATAATGCAACTGACCTGATTCCTGGCTGGGAAATAGCATATGCATTCACATAAGTTATGCATCTATTTAAATTTCCAAAAGAATCATGTATCTTCCTGAAAAAGAATTACCTTGATAATTGCCACATAAGGCTTCTGATTTTTTGCTTCTGGAACCAGGAGCACGGGATCCTCCTGTAGAAGAACAAAAGTTAGCAATAAGAGAAACCACATAAGAAAAACCACACTTAACAAAGTTCCTAGCCAATGCAATTACAGGTTATACTGTTCAAAGGGGATGAAACAGCCAAGTAAAATTTCATGGAAGAAAAAAACTAGAGTTGATATTGATTGCACAAAATCTCCTCAGCTCTCATACCAACATCCAGGCACACCAAACCAAGCTTCTTCCACTATATTCAAGTGATAGTGATACACTTCTACCAGGAAAGATACCAATTCAGATTAATCAGCTCTCTCATTTCTCCAACTCCTTACAAAGTAGCCATTACTACATCAAATGATACTCATTAAATCAAAGTGAATCCAAATCTAAACTAGTTGTTTGCAGTATTTTCTGATGTTGAAGCAAAGAGCATCCAGAAACCCATTTCCTATATCATGATACCCCATTAAACTTTATGAATAAACCAAACAACCAGAGACTAAGAAGCAGAGTGAACCCATGAAATCACCTCCTTCAAATATTATGGATGAAATGTTCACCAAAGAAAATAATTTTCATGGAAAGTGTTTTATCAGAAATCATTTTCTAGATTATTTTCCAATGTTAAGTCAGGTACAAAAGCGGATGACATATAACAGTTCTACAAGGTTAAAGAGATGGTAGGAGGATAGTGTTTCACTAATATTCTTTTGTGTCAAAAGTTGAGATAAATGTAGTGTTGGTTGAAGCTAGCAATAAGGAGTACTAGTTTTGTATATTTGTAAAGGAATATGACTTCCCCTAATAAGCATCAGAAAAGGGGAAATTATCCTAAACACTACTAGATGATTTCTTCCCATCCGACTAAGCCTTGATGGGCAGAGCAAGTCCAGTGGAATAGTTGAGGTAATGTACTTTCCAATTTCTATCATTCCAAATGCAACCTATGAATGATAAGTAACATTTTTCAAACCCTAATTTCAGCTACAGGTCATGGAAAAAAGCCGTAATTTTTTCAAAACACAAACAAATTTTCATGAGAAGTGTTCGATCAGAAATCATTTTCTAGATTATTTTCCAATGTTAAGTCAGGTACAAAAGCAGATGACATATAACAGTTCTACAAGGTGAAAGAAATGGTAGGAAGATAGTGTTTTGGTAATATTTTTTTTGTATCAAAAGTTGAGAAAAATGTAGTGTTGGTTGAAGCTAGCAATAAGGAGTACTAGTTTTGTATATTTGTAAAGGAATATGACTTCCGCTACTAAGCATTAGAAAGGGGGAAATATTATTCTAAACCCTACTAGGTGATTTCTTCCCATCCGTGAGCAGAGTATCGGTGCTGGTGGGCAGGTCCGGCAGAATAGTCGAAGTAATGTACTTTCCAATTTCTATCATTCCAAATGCAACCTATGAGTGATAAATAACATTTTTCAAACCCTAATTTCAGCAACAAGTCATGGGGAAAAGCCGTAATTTTTTTTCAAAACACAAACAACATTTCAATAAATAACATTTCGGAAGCATTTTTCGATGAAATAAAGCAAATGAATGAAAACTCACAAGTTCATAGCGATTTCCATCGTACTCGAATGACTCATAATGGTTTCTCCTCCCTTTACCTTTTCCAGTAACCCTAATTACCTCACCAATAGGCTTAGCATCTTCCAGCTGTTCTTCTTCCACCTCCTCCTCCTCCTCTTCAACCGGTTCAGGTTCCGATTCAAGCTCCGGTTCTTCGTCAAATTTCTTCTTCTTATTCCTCTTCCCCCTGCCTCTCTCCTCCTCTTCCTCCTCATTTTCCGGCACTTTCCTCTTCTTCTTCCTCTTATCTCTACTTTCATCATCATTATTCGATTCCTCTTCTTCCTCCTCTGGCTTTTCTTCTTCTTCTTCTTCTTCGACGAGCCTTACTTTCTTACGCTTCCTTTGACTATTCGCTTTATCTTCGCCGTTGCTGGAAGCGCGTGTTACACGCGATAGCAGCAACTTGTCGTCGTCGTCCTCGTCGTCGCTTATCGCTACCACCGCTAACCGCCGGTTTCCCATTTTTGCTTGCTATACGGTGATGTGGTGCGTGAGTCAAGCAACAAGTCACAAGTGTTGAATGCGGAGAGTGTTAACGAGAGAAAAAGGAATCTACTAGTACTACTGTTCGAAGAGATCATCAATTTGAGATTCTGTGTATTTAACATAACACTTTAAAATGGTCAAAATAGCGTAAGTTGGCCAATTTTCGGGTTATAAAATAATTGAAAAATACTTATTGTTTAATACGAGAATAAATTTTGGACAAAAATATATTTTGCCGAATTACGGTCCAGTATCATATGCTAGATTATGAAATTCTTATATATAAACTCTTGCACAAAAGATACCCTATACATGGTTACGTTGGAATTCGAACTTTTAGAAGTTGAATTTTAGCAAATTATATTGAAATTTCAAGAAAAAATTATGGAACTCAAACAACACTAAGTAAAAGTAGTGAAAGTGAAACTCAAATAAGACGTTGTCTCTCGCTGGAGTTAAAGCGGAAAAAATAGAAAAGCGAGTCTTTGCGCTCTTTTTAGTTGGATATTCTTGTCCAAATATTACCTTCGCATTAAAAATGATAAATTTTTTTTTTTAATTTCAAAATTATAGCTAATTTTCAATTACTAATAATCATGCTAATTCTGAATTTTTCCCTTTAAAATGTTTCATAAGACTAGGAAAATATTCTAAATATTTTTAAATTATATGATTGGGGAGTCCAATAAGTTTCCGATTAAAAATTTTAAGAATTATTTCAATACTATAAAAATTTGTACAAGGGCAGTTGAAGGCCAAGCAAAGTTAATGAGGCATTAGCTTAAAGTCCCTAAAATTTTTAGTATGTTTAAAATTATAAGAAATAGCAGAAAAGTACTCAGCTTCGTGAAAAAAGGAAATGGAAATTTATGCATGTCAATTAAAAATTATATATCGGGTTACTTAAAAATAAAAAGAAGAGTTGAAACTTTAATATATCAACACCAAAAGTGTTCTCAAGAAACAGTAATATAGTTATTACAATCAAAGAACAAATGGTACAGATATGTTGGAGAACTTTTTGCTATTGCTACCCTCACTTTCAGAAATTTCCTTCAAACTAGTCCAAGACTTCCTCTTTCGCTTACTGGATATTGAGACAGTTTTCTCAGCATCTGTCGCGGACGAACCAACCTGAGGTTCAACTTTCTTCTTGAACCCTGTTCTGTTTCTTTTCTTCCTCTTAGAATCCAACAAAGAAGTAACTGTTACTGTCGATAATGGAGTTGCAGGACTAGCGGTAGGATCATCTCCAACTATTTCAGATGAAACCGTTACATCTGCATTATTATCTCTATTGGTACTAGCCACTGAAGTAACAAACTGTTCAGACTTTTGGGTTGCTGATTCAGTAAGGTCAACTCTTGTCTCATCGATATTAGCCTCTAACGTATCCAACTGTTCAGATTTTTGCGTTGCTGATTCAGTAGGGTCAACTCTTGCCTTATCGATACTAGACACTACTGTATCCAACTGTTCAGACTTTCGGGTTGCTGATTTAGTAGGGTCTACTCTTGAAGTTGTTGTTTTGGCAGGATATAGGTCTTTCATATAGCCACCCGGGGTTCCTCTCTTTAGATTAGGATGTGAACAGAAATGGCAGTCATAGACAACATAGTTCTTTGGGGGAATACCAGGTTTCTTGCGTCTATTTCGTCCCTTTCTTTTGTTCTTCTCGATCCGTACTGAACAATTATAGCCAGACTGAAGGATAGATTCACACCTGGAGAATAGCAAATACAAGTTAGTATGCAAGCCTCAATTTTCTCATAACAAAAGGGGGTGGTCGGCAATAGCTCGTTCAAACATGACAATTGTGAAGATTGTTCCCTAAACAAGTATATGATGCAGACAGTTATTGTAAAAAAATGCCCATATTGCATCTTGAACTCAAACATAACCAACTTTTAGAGAAATCAAAACAAAAATAATTATAAAAATGGTGTCAGGGGCCAGCTTTTGCGTATCTTGATTATTTCACCAGGTACCTGCTACCTCCCACCCGTACAAGCGGGTGGCTTTGGCCACCAAGACTCAGGCAGATGTGAAGAAATCACCTAGTGTCTTTTGTCTCCATTGGTTTTGCTCACTTCATTAACCGCTAGGCGACACTCCTAGGAACTAAACAAAAAAGTTATTTTGACAGAAAGGGATTGATACCACGCCACAGTATCTATTAGCAAACACTTGCTTTACCAAAATGGATTATAAAGTAACAAGATGATTAGTGCAAAGGGATTACAAAAAGGCATTGCTATAAGGTATGCAGTTACTATCAGTGTTTACACCGTGGATAGACGGAATTTTATAGTCCAATAAACTGCCTGACAGGATATAGTGTAACATAAAAACTTATTACTGGGGGAGATGTCCGCCTCATTTGTATTCTTCCTCATCCATCAATTCCTCATTTGTACATGTTAGGATTAATGGCCTAGTGTTTGTGTGCTGCATATGTTGACCATGTACAGAGATTGACATTTTGGCAGTGTAGTAAATATGGCTGGCTTATTGAGCAATCTGAGTTAAGACACAGAATGTGAAAGGCACTTGTTCGAGTTGTTCTCCCAAAAGCTAAGACGCTTGATTATTAAGATCCTCCGCGAAGGAAATATAACCAGTCAATTGCACTATTACTGATTCTGAGAAGTAGAAAGTGAATAACATTCAAGTTAAGGCTCTCCCGCAGTACTATGGAATTCATATGAAACCAGAAAGTCAAGGGCATCCAACAAAAGGCTCCTCCTAAATGATACAGATAAATTGAAGTCAGAAAGTTCCTGAAATTACTAGTATAAATCTCCCATTAGGATTTGTGCAACAACTGAAAAATTAGCTACTAGTTCCAATCCAATTTAACATAACGTTCAATGCAGAAGCACTCAAAAGGTAGGTTCCAAGCTAAAGGCTCAATTATCATCTTAGATGTCCTAAATTAACCCCTCCTCCAACCCCTATCTCAAATAAAGAGACTGCCACTTCCAGAGAAGATAAGAAACACTTGGATTATATCTAATTCAAACACTTATTATTCACTCGAACAGGCTTAATAAAATAAGTACAACTCTGCTAATTCATCATACCTCACTTATCATTTCCTGGCGCTCTAGGTTTAGAAGACTCATTGGGTTGCAAGAACGCGCGGGTTCAACAATTAGTGCAGGAGTACATGTTGTAGAATATAATACATGAAAACAGGGGTATGGCAGATGTAAGAGGGACCCTTGTCAATTGAGAAGGCTTTAGAAGATTCCCCTCAACAATGTTTGGACCTCCATGGCAAAGGCATCACTTAATAATATAAAGGATGGTACATGATAAACAAAATAAGGTAACAATTTACACAATCTCACAAATCACTCATCATTCCCATAAAAGTTCTTCCAAGGGACATATCATCATACTTCATATTCTTATCAAGTAGTATATAGTACCTGTACCTACCCAAGAAGGACACGACATTAACAATGAAGGTCATTACTTCATCATTTCCTTTATTTTTCTTCTATACTTCCTTTCCATTTATATTATAATATTCAGAAGTTCCTTGACCGATTACTCCTCATTTATATAACCTATTTCGGATACTCCAAAAATGTATAACTTTTGGAGGATCAGACACACACCCATCAGACGGCATTTTTGAAGAATTCGAGCAACATAATCATAGTTTCACGGGTTTACTAACACAACAACACAGATTACTAAACAATTAAGCCTCATCATCAATCAATCTGTCCATGAATCAAAAGCCCAACATAAATATCAGCATGCATGTGGGAAGAAAATACATAGACGTCCTTATGGCTCGATTGCAAGCTAAAATTCAATGAAACGTGAAATAAACTAAAACATATATATTTAAATTTTCATGAAGCGTTATGTACTGTTGAGATTATACAGAAAATTCGACATTGATGAAAATTGAAATGTGTGAAAGAATACAAGTTAGGGAAAACCTGTCAACGATGAAGTAAATCCTATCGATTGATCATCCAGACTCCAATTTTAAACAGGTTATCAACATTCATCCACGTATATATCCTACACTGAAAGTGCAAGATCAAAGAAAAGGAGAGTATAGGTCGATCTCATTGTTGACCTAATTCCTAGAGAAGCGTACGAGTGACGGGCAACTTTTTTAGAAACTTTTTTTTTCCTTCTAAAGTTTACTTCCACTACATGAACATCCAAAGTAAAACACTATAAACTTAAGAAGTTAACTTAAAGGTACATTATTAAAAATCTCGGGTTATTACAGTCAGTTCCTACTTTATTCCACTTTGCTTGTTTCACTTTCTTTGAAACCTTTGTTGAAAGAATCGTCTATCCTGTTTCAAGCCATCCAAGAGCAATCTCTAGAGAAAGATGTGACTGGCATAAAGGAATCATTTATCTATGTATTTTGTCACATAACTACAAGTACCAAGCTGAAGTTCAATAACCAGATATATTAAAAGGAACCAAATAGTTCTAGAATTCAGGAATCAGGACATTTCTGCAACATAGCAAGTTCCTTATATTTAGAAATGTTTCGACAACTGGTATGGGTTTAGACCCCACAGGTACCCTTGTCAAGTAACCCTTTTGAGAGAAGATAAAGGGACTCTAAAGTATCATCAGGGACACCAAACAGCCAACAAATAAATCAACCAGAATAGCAAGTCCCAAAACTAACATAGTTAAAATGTCTACAACCAACTTTTCACGGGAAAAGCCAAATCATTACTTACAAGGTCAAAAATCAAACTGATTATCATTCTGATTGAGAAGACAACTAACTACAATAACAAACAGCAATCAAGGTCAGTTACTAATCTATCTATTTAATTCAACATCAATCAACTATGCTTCAATACCAAACTAGACTGAGTCCGCTGTATGAATCTCAATCTCCTATCCAATTTCCTCAATCCAGGCGAATTCAATATCTATAGATTCATCATACTGAAGACTATCTTCGCACTAGCCGTAAACCTACTGCAACCTTGTTTTTTTAATTGGGTTTGGAACCAGCTATGGGAGCTCAATTAAGCAGAGTTAGTCCATGCTAATTCCCAATTCAAATTACACAACACATAAGCTAACACAGTTCAAATAACAGTATCATCGCAGTGAACAAGGTCCAATTTTTAAGCCATCACCAAATCAAAACAACTCTCTGAATCCGGCAAAATAATTCAAGAATGCTTAAAGAGTTTTTATAAAAAGGTCAAAAAGATTTAAAGAGCAAACCTTTGACAAGTAAACAAAGAGGGGTCAGGAGGAACACCCAAGGATTCAGCTGAAGCAGCAAATCTCTGACCAAAGAATGCACCAAGTGAATGTATGGAAGTTTCACCGCTGACCCAGGTAGCAAGATTCTTTATATGTTCCAATTTCAGCATTGATTTTGCATTTACATGATTTTGTTTCTTCTTCCCACTTAGCTCTTCTCTCAATGTAATTGACCCACATGTTGTACCACCGCCTTTCTTTTTTGCTCTTCCCTTACCCATTTTTTTCTACTCCAAAATTTCAGCCTTTTCAATAATAACTGAAGAGGGGAAACTCCAAAACTGATAAAACGGCCGCCGCGCCGTCACCGTCGCCACCACCGGAATGGGTGGGGAGTAACAGACGTGTGAAGCTGATATAGTTTGGTTGGGCTGACTTTAGTTGAGCCCATGCTCAAACCCATGTTATTTTATCGGGTGATTTTTAAAAAAATAACCAGATTTACAACTGGTCGTTCAAAAATAGCCCAATTTCAAAAGTAATCGAAATTTAGCCACTTTTTATGTAAAGATAAATCTGAGCGAAAATACTGTTCAAAACCCGGAAATACTCCAGTATATTATGCTGGAGTTCCAGCATAAGTATACCTGAACTCCAGCATATTATACTGGAGTTCCAGGATAGTATGCTGGAACTCCAGCATAATATGATGGAGTTCCAGCATAAATACACTAGAACTCCAGCATAATATACTGGAGTTCCAGCAAGTATAATGGTCCAGTATAATATACTGGAGTTTGGAGCACCAGTGCTCCAGTCTCCAGTATATTATACTAGAGCCAGCAAAGTATATCGGTCCAGCATAATATGCTGGAGTTCATACACAAGTGCACCGAACTCCAATATATTATGCTGGACCGGTCTCTATTGCAGCAAAACGGTGGCTATTTTTCATTGGCTTGGTAAATGCTGGCTATTTTTGATTGACCAGTCCGAAAACTGGCTATACCGTAAAATTTTGGCCTATATTATAGTGGTTGAATGGTAAAATTTACCCGCACCGGTGATTACACCAAATCAATAGATACATGACTTGTGTTTTGCATATGGACTTCAATCATTTAACCATGGTAAATTATATGCATTCTCATCTAATTAAATTAATTAACCAAGTTAATATAGTTTGGTGTAAACACCCGATGTGAGTAAGTATTTACCGTGGTTGCATTGGCCAAACTATAAAGTGGTAATGGTGAAAAAACTTAATAAAAAAAAAGATGGTAAGAAAAATAATAATTTACAAGGACATAATCTTCTAGGAAGATTTTGCGATTTTTATGGGATTCATCATCTTGTACCACTCGGTTTGAATCAGACAAAATTCGCTCCCTTCTTCTAAATTTTCCTCTTCCATATATATTCGCGAGACTCCAATCCCAAAAGAAATTTTAAATAAATTTGTAGTTCTGATCGACTATGAGAGTCAACTTATAAATTATACTTTTGAATATTTTGTGGTTCCTCATATTAAATGAGAAAATTATAAATGGAAGATTGATCACAAGAAACATCCACAACTGAAGACAAAAATATTCTTGGATATAAGGGGAGAGGGGTCATGAGAGGGATCGGAGGAGAATCCTTAATATTTTCCTAACATTATTTCTTTATTTCAAATTTCTTGAAGCTTCGGACAGAATATTTTGCTGTCGACAGAATTTCATTTTCGTCTTTACTGAAGAAGAAGAAAATTAGTGGGTCGAAAGAAAATGATTTTTCGGCCAATTTTGCAAACTGTTTATATAGTATTATTTTCAGGATTGTAACTCAACAATCCAGGAACATGTGAAATAGTGGTCCTGAGAACATACTAACAAGATATTTACTCTCGCTGTTCGTTGTTTTCTTCTTGATTACGACAGTTTACCATGGCAAAGATTTCACTACCCAACCAAACTTTTTTTTTTTTAAAAAATAAAATAAAAAATTCTTACTATTTTTTCCTTTATCCATCTTCGAATACTTTTCCTTATTTTGGGTTTATTTTTAGTTTGTCATTTTCTTTGGTGAAAAAAAATATGCATGGGCACGATTAGATTTGGACTGCTTTTGTAGGGAATAACTCATTAATGGATCGAGTCTGGATTTCTGGAACAACTCATACCAAGACATCTAAAAGACTTAGTAAAAAAAATAGAAAAGTAGATTGTTTGAATGTGAAATCCTACTGCAAAGACGATCTTGACTGGGAGGGAAACTAGAGGTTAATATGGTTGAGAATGGGCTAGTCTATAACGCGCTTAAAGATGGGCCTAGATCCAAAATCTTNTTCGTTTAGTAACCTACTACTTGTCCGGTCGGTCATAGTAGACTAAACTAAAGTCAGAAGGAAGCAAAAAATAATAACTCATATTTATGGCAAAACAATCAAATGTTGAGACAATGAATGACTCTTTGGGTAAGACTTAACTCTTTACCTACTACTTGAACTCTTATTTGGTGTATTGATATCTCTCAAAAAATATTTCTTTCTTAAAATTTTAGTTTCTAAAACATTATTTTTCAATAATAATTATTTTTATAATAATGTAATTGAAAATATTATTCTTATATCAAAACTCATTTTAGTTGGCTATCTAAAAATATAAAAAATTCTTTAGCTAGTGAATTTTTTTTACTCCATTTTGATATTTGACATTAAGCATGTTAAATATCTGAGTTATTTGAATTATATGAAAATAACCTTAACATTTAAACCTTCTAAATAATTAATCGTCAGATATTAATTAAGAAACACTACATGAAAAAAGACTAACATTTTCTCAATCTCGTAGTGATAATTTTATTTTTGCACTATTCTCATAGGTGTCATTGGAACCTAAAAATAGCTAGAAAGTGAAATAATAACTCATATTTATGGCAAAGCACAAAGGTTGACTCGATATAAACGATTCTTTGATTACGACGTGACTCTTATACTACGACTTTGTCACGAGCCGGATTTTCCACCTTCAAGAGTCGTGATGGCGCCAACTAATAAGAGCTAGGCAAGCCGACTACTGAACAAAAATACCTTTTTACCCCTTTTATACTTTTTAACAATTATAAAGCAATACGTGCAAACAGCGGAAATTTTAATAAGCGGAAGAAATGCAGTAAACTATCTGAAACACGTATCTAATACAACTGTTTAAGTCTCAACCACCCAGAACTGGTGTTACAGTGTCACAGACGATCTAAGATTACTACATACAAGGTCTGAAAAATAAAACGATACACTTATATTACCGTTGCAGGCGCGCAACCCGCTCCCATTTCACATATTACCGTTGCAGGCGTGCAACTCGTTCCCATTTCTTTTATCAACACCAATCAAAAGATCCCGGCAAGGGAACAATAATATTAAAACAAATATCCCGGCAGGGAACAATAATGATAATAACATCCCGGTAAGGGAACTATAATGATAATAACATCCCTGCAAGGGAACAATAATGATAATAACATCCCGGCAAGGGAACAATAATAAAATTCGCATATGAAGGGCAATAGATCACAACGGAGGCATAATAATTACATTACAAGACTCACGGGCATGCTTGACACCGACGTATAGATACTCGTCACCATTCTTATACGTCGTACTCCACAATTAACATGTAACAAATAAGACTCGGCTCCTAATCCCTCAAGCTAAGGTTAGACCAAACACTTACCTAGATCTCACGAACATAATTCACGTCTCAACTATCGTTTTACCCCTTGATTTCACCACCAATTCGCCCGTATCTAGTCACAAGTTACTTAATTACATCAATAAACGCTTAATGAATCAATTTCAATGCATGAAAATGAATTTCCAAAGTTTTGCCCAAAAAAGTCAAAAATCGCCCCGGGCCCACATGGTCAAAACCCGAGGTTCGAACCAAAGCCCGATTATCCATTCCCCCACGAACCCAAATATATAATTTGTTTTGAAATCGGACCTCAAATCGAGGTTCAAATCCCCAATTTTTGAAAAACCTAGGCTCTACTCAAAACATCCAATTTCCCCATGAAAATCATTGATTTTGAGTTGAAATCATGTTAAAAGATGTTAATGATTGAAGAAAACGAGTTAAAATTGACTTACAATCGATTTGGAAGAAGAGTTGTCTTTGAAAAATCGCCCAAGAGTGTTTTGGTTTTGAAAGAGTGTGAAAAGATTTTCGGCTAAGTTATAAAATTGCAAGTTGCAGATATGGAAATTGCGACCAGGGTTCGCAATTGCGAACCCTTACTTTTGCTAGACTCGCATTTGCGAAAATGGATTCGCATTTGCGAAGTGGGAATTGCGAACAAAAGATCGCATTTGCGATAACAGGCCCAAAAGGGGTGCATCGCATTTGTGAAGGAAATCTCGCACTTGCGAGGAAGGGATGGCCTGGGCTGCTTTCGCTATTGCGACATAGCCCTCGCATTTGCGACTTCGCATTTGCGAGTCAGGCTTTGCAAATGCGAAGCCTGCAGGCCTGCACTGAAATAGCTGAAGCCTGCAATTTCTTAAGTCCAAAAATCCACCCCGTGGCCTATCCAAAACTCACCCGAGCCCTCGGGGCTCCAAACCAAACATGTACACCAACCTAAAAACATCATACGGACTCGCTCGTGCATTCAAATCACTCAAATAACATCAACAACTATAAAATTAGCATCAAAATCATGAAAATTCTTAAGAACTTCAAGTTTTCCATTTTTCTCAAATACGATCCGATTCACGTCGTTTTAAGTCTGTTTCTTACCAAATTTCACAGACTTATCTTAAATCACATATATGGCTTGTACCGGGCGCCGGAACCAAAATATGGGCCCGATACCATCAAGTTTTATACACATTTCATTTTCAAAAACTCATAAATATTTCAGAAGACAATTTTCTTTAAAAATTTATTTCTCGAGCTTGGGACCTCGGAATTCGATTTCGGGCATACGCCCAAGTCCCATATTTTCCTACGGACCCTACGGGACCGTCAAATCACGGGTCCGGGTCCGTTTATCCAATATATTGACCGAAGTCAACTTAATTCATTTTAAAGCCAAAATTCATCATTTTTCACAGATTTTCACATATTGGCTTTCCGGCTACGTGCCCGGACTGCGCATTCAAATCGAGGTCAGACAGAAAGAGGTTTTTAAGGCCTCGAAACGCATAATTTACTTTTAAAACAAGTGATGACCTTTTGGGTCATCACATTCTCCACCTCTAAAATAACCGTTCGTCCTCGAATGGACGTAAGAAGGAAGTACCTGAGTTGGGGAAAAGATGGGGATAACGGCTCCGCATATCTGACTCGGACACCCAGGTCGATGCCTCAGCAGGCTGACCTCTCCACTGAACACGAACAGAAGGAAAACTCTTCGATCTCAACTGACGAACCTGCCAGTATAGAATAGCTACCGGCTCCTCCTCATAAGACAAGTCCTTGTCTAATTGGAC